TAAAAAAAGCGATTCCTAAGAAACATAGTCTAGAAGTTTATAAATTCAACCTTTTTTACGAAATCACAATCGAACTTCCGGAAGTATGATTAATTTACTACCGCTTTTAGTAGTTTTTATAGTCATGTCAACAAGAATATATTTCATTTTTCGCGATTTATTGACATGTGCGTGAGCGTGTGAGAGTTACTTCCGGCGTGGTTGCCCGAATCGACGTGACAGCTATTCTCGGAAACGATAACAAATTACGCACACTAATGTTCATTTTACTATTCACACATAGATATAGTATTAATTCTTATGTCACATGAATTGCCTAAATATTACTCCTTAAAATATGCTACATTGCAGCCCCCTTAACCATATTCTGGTGTCATCGACTGGTGGGTTCAAAAATGTTTCCAAAGCTATTTAATTTAGCATTTATAGCAGGCCACTATTTACAACTTAAACGAAAAAAAATTTTAATTAGGCACAAATACAATTACAATCACTTTTACAATATTAAGTCATTAAAATAATTCATATTATAATTCCATATTTATTGTTTATTTTATTGATTGCGATCAAAGCTTGTCTAACATGACTCAGATACTTTGCGAGCGCCGAAATCGTGATTATAACGTTACTGATAAATGATATAGATGACAACTGAGGGATAAACCATGATTGAAAATAACTGTTATGCATTAAAGTTTAAGAGTAAACGGTCCTGTCCCGTGTAGTCATGTGGGACCCACCTAAGACACACAAAACTGTACCTACAAGCTGGATTTTACTTTTCATTGTTCGAAATTTTGTGCGCAAACGAGATGTCGTAAATTTAAAAAAAATGTGCTCCAACGAGTGCCGACCTACTTAGGTTAAGGTCTCCTATTCTGTTTGCTCCATCCTGATGGCAAGACTTTTTTTTAGTCCTCAAATTGAATGTGTTTAATATTCAAAAGGTGGCAACTCAAATTTTTCTTTTTTGGTACCAATTTTGTTTAGAATATTGTCCCCAGCCTACTGAAAAATAAATTTTGTGAAGAGTATTTGTTTTTCAGGAAGCAACACGCCAAGGAGGTGCTAGATATAGCACCCTTGCACCCGCCTCTGGATCCGTACCAACGTACCGACATAAATCGTTTCCTTAAAAATAAATACAGACATAGGTACACAAGCACAAATCTAATGATATTTTCCATATTTATCATAAGCAATATAGAACAATTATAAACTTTCAATAAAAGTTAAGTGAATAAATTTTTTTCCAAAATAAGAATTACAGTTAAATTTTAAATTGATTTTACAATGATGTGTGTTTATTTATTTTTTATTTTAGATTCTGAGCGGAACGATGAATGTATTGATTTTACAATGATGTTTTTTTTTTAAATTTTTTAAATTTTTGTTTCTGTCATAACCTTTTAGGACAGTAAAAGTGCTTGGATTTTCTTCAACAGTATCTTTTCTAATAGGAAAGTGAATCTAGTTGGTACTTTGGGGTGGTCAAAAGTAAAAATTTCTCAGTAGTTTTCAAAAGCGCCATGAAAAACAAAAGAAAAATTAAGGAAAAACGGGAACTTTCACGCAAAATCTTTGAATTTCGTGAAAATTTATTTTGGTTTTTGATGTAACTTTAAAAAAAATGACCGTAGATACATGAAATTGTCAATGGTTGTTTATATTTGCGTTTTCTATACACGATCAAATTTTCAAAATATTTGATTTATTTTGAACTGTTTAGGGACATTTTCAGTTTCCAATTTTATTAGTTTTTTTTTTATGAATATCAATAAAAATTTATTTGTTGAGTAAAAATACTTGAAAATTTAATACAAGGCTCCTAGTATATTGTTTCAAAGGCAGATGAAAAATATTAAAAATAATTAGTAACAGTTTTTTTTTATAAGCATTTAAAGTTCATAAATTGACAAAATATGAAAAAATCACGAAAATTATCAAATTATTTTCAGTTAAGAATTCGTAAAAATTTTTCTTTTTAAATTTAAGATTTTAAAATGTAATACAAGATTCCTTATAAGATTATCTACCTTTATCAAAAAAAAATTGTTTATAAGAAAGTCAAATTAAATTTTTATGAGCGTTTGAAATTCAAATTTTTACAACATGGATATTCACTCGATTTCTCATGTAGCGATTTTCTTATTTTGTTGTAATTCAAAAACGAATAACTGTAGAATTGTAGATACATGAAAATTTCACTGAATGTTTATTTTTCAATTCTTATTCTTGATAAAATTTTAAAAATATTTTTACTTGTTTTGAGCTGTCTACGGAATTTTTCAGTTTTCAATTTTTTTAGTTTTTTTTCTATAAATATCAATAAAGTTTTATCTGTTAGACCAAAAAGTGTAAAAATTTAATACAAGGCTTCTGATATATTGTTACAATATCAGTTGAAAAATATTAAAAATACATACTCACAATTTTTTTTATAAGCATTTAAAGATCAGATTTTGACAAAATTTATCAAATTTAAAATTGAATAATTATTTTGTAGTTAAAAATGTATAAAATGTTCAACTCTTATATCTAAGGATTAAAAATTTAAAACAAGATTCCACATAAATAGTTAATTCTGTTACCAAAAAATCTAAAAAATACAGAAGGACAGTTTATTTTTATAGTAATTTTAAGTTCAAATTTGGACGAAATTACATATTAAAAACCTAGAGTAACTCTTTTTAGATATTTTGTTGTGATTGTATAATATTATTATTCATGGGTACATGAAATTTCTAAAGTTACTATTATACATCTATGATAGTATTACGGTTTTTTGTTGATGCGTTACAAGTAACTAATTGATATTGTGATATGATTAATTTGGAATTTATTATTGGTAGGTACCTATTATAGGTCAATATTTTTTAAAATACCATAGATATGTATATAATATGTCTTATACCTAGACTGTTATATCGTCTCCGCTTAGAATCGTTTTTCTTATATATAATGATATTATATCATTGAATTCAAATTTAATACCATCCATTATACAGTGACCCACTTGTAACCTACTGTACAGCAGAGCACATTGTGGTTGACCTGACTTTGACAATTTTTGGGGTGCTAAGCTCTAGTTGAACTTATGGTAGAAAATCATAAAGGTTCTTAACTGAGACGTTTGATTTTCTTATAACTATATTGACAGGAGTTTTTTTTAATATTTATTTTAACTTTACATTATTGTAATATTTTTACAGTAAATAGGTTAGGTTAGGTACCTACTATTGTGTATAAATATATTTTAAAAAAAATGTAGATAGGTTATCTAATGCTATATTTAGATGTTATGTAAAAATGTGTAAAAATTAATGGACTTAGCTACAGTTTAATTTAATGAGATCAATAAAAAAAAGTTATTAGTAGAGTTATGATCTCATTAAAACAGTTTTTCTAATGTTAATATATTATAATACAATACAAACTCTATTTATAGCAAAATTAAAACGTACCTACCTACCTATATAAAGGTTGTCCATCGAACAAGTTAGGTAATTTCCTTTATTTATAGGTATATCTATACGAACGACTGGCATCAGAGAATCAGGTATGTACTCATTTTATATTTTAATTTACTTTGTATAATTTATAATTTATTTACTTGTATGGCATTGATTGGCAACAATAAAGACGTGTGCCATAATTATAGTTCATTTATATATTCATTTTAGGGGTTTTGATTTAAATATATTTTCAAGAATATTTTAATTACTATCCTAATATTATTTGGTTTATAATTTATAACCGTAAAATAATTACCATTAAGACAAATAGGTGGTGAAAGAAAATAATTTGCACACGCCAAATGTAATATTGATAACAAAGTCTCATTAATGAACACGTTCAGTGGCGCCCATTATCTTTTTAAAGAATAAGTAAAAATAAAATAAACAATTTTAAGTAGGGAAGTATAAAGTAGGTACCTATTAACATTATGCAGTTTTTTCATTTTATACGGACCATACCTATTTTAGATTCTGAGCGGAGCAAGGAAGCTAGTGGTTTTACAATGGTGTTTATTTATTTTTTTGCTTCAATTTCAACATATAGTACCTTATCTTTTAGCAAATTGGATCAAGATGGTACTTTAGATAGGTCATTTTTCGATTGTATCAATAGTTATTTAATGCCACGGGAAAAAGCACCGAAAAATTACGAAAAACCGCTAAAATTGGTATTTTAATTTCTAACCCTTTGCTGATCACCATAGAAACGAATAGAAAATAATAATATTATAATATTAATTCAACTTACATGATATAATAAATAATAACAATATAAAATATCCAGGGTGACAAACCTTCTCCGCTCAGAATCGTCTTTTGTATACAATGATATCAATCATTGAATTCAAGTTTATTACAATCCATTATACAATATAACCTACTGTACAGCAGAGCGACATCCACTTACCAGTTTTTTTTTTAAGATGAATCGATCCCGAATCTGTTTTATTATATCAAAATGTACTGACTGTCGTAGAAATCTGATAGAACTTCTGAAAACATAAAAGCTATAGATTTGAATTTTTTATTAAATTAATTCTAAGACTAATTTTCCACGATTTGAGTATTTACTCTTATAACAGTCAAAATGTGATGTTAAAATAAAAATAGATGTAGGTAGGTACCTATACCTCCATCACTCTCCATTAGTTTGATTTTAAAAATGAAAACCTGTTTGAATTCGTAAAGAACTTTACGCTGGATAGTTCTGAGTAGGTCCCTACTTTTTCAATTTTAATGAATCGCGAAGTTCATACTTACTTAACTCAAGTTAAGTTATTAACTTAACGAAGGTAATTCAGTTATTTATTTGTTATTTACCGTTTTACAGTTAAATTTAATATAAGAAGCATTGTAGTACGTCTAAATGGAATAAAAAGTTGTTAAACTTATTTAATACCTTGGTTAAGCGTATAAGTACCAATAATTATTTGATTATTTTCTGTTTTTATGTGTTGATCATATTATATTGAAACAGTCAAAATGTTTCCGAGTTCATTATTGGTCTTGTTGGCAACGATGGTTTTGTTCAATCGAGCGGCAAAAATTGAGAACATGTATGATTTTAGTAATATCATAGATTTTGAAGATTCAACATCCCCTCCGTCGAAAATTGAACTGTTTCGTCCAAACGGAATTGAACAAATTGGCCAAGGAAATGACGAAAACAAAAGTACATCTGAAACCAATAACAAATCAATTTTGAAACGATTCACCGGTGGTATAACTGGTTATCTAAAGTCATACTTGGATTCTTCATGCGAAACGTCGGGTATTATCCTTTCCGATGATGAAGTTTGCTTGTGCAAAAATTCAACGGTGCTATTTTTCTTTAAAAAAAATAATTGTTTTTTGGTAAAAGTTACTAATTCCGGCAATAAAAAACACTAAAGTCACTATAGTACTACCTACTTACATTATTCGACCTTCGATATTATACATACCACCCCACCGGCCACCAACCAAAACAATAGATTCAACCTACACTCCCAAAGTTGATAACTTGAAATGGACACTATAATATTTCACAATTGTCTAATTCTTTTCATCATCTGGGAATCACACCTGCAATTATATGGGTACTTACCTACTCGATCTAATCCATAATATTATATTTGAAAAGCAAAGATTTACTATTAAACTATTTCAATATGTAGGTACCTATATAAGTTTTCTTTGTTACAAAATCATTTAACAATATTTCACATTCCAAAAATTGAATATTAGATTTAAAAATATGTTGATAATGTCATTAAGTGCACAATAACATTTTGTAACAAACATTTATTTATTATTTTTATTACAATTATCACCTGTTTCAAACCTTTGTTTTTGGTTTATACATCCTTTTACACCTATATTTTATGATTGTTTCCCTATTTAATCCTATTAATCGCAATCTGAAGAATATTCTTATTCTTCTTCTTCGTAATTGACGGTCATAATATTGAAAATAAAAACAAACAGTGGCTGACATATCGCTTTTTCTTGAAGAAATATTTCTACAATAAGTTTATCAATTTTCTTGAAAAAGAAGTCAGTACCTAACTTTAAAAAAGATAAGTTTTTAAAACGATAATTATAATAGTTTATTACAAAACTAACAAAAAAGTGTTCAAGTGTCAAATATCAAATATTTTATATTATTTTTCGAGTGAAATTTTTAATTAATTGAAATATTTATATAGGTCTCATATAATACTATATATAGACTAAATAGTAAATACAATTTACATTGAAGTATATAAAACAAAAATGCATGTAAGTCACACTTATTTTATTGTTTGGTGCCTATACCTATAAAATTCTATTTTATTATTAAGGGGGCTGCAATGTAGCATATTTTAAGGAGTACTATTTAGGCAATTTATGTGACATATAAATTAATACTGCCCTTGGATTGGAGAAATAAGGTAACATTTATTCATTAACTTAAGTTTCTCACATTGAATTAAGTAATTTTATTATTGTCTACAATAATATTACAAGTAATGATCGTAAATATGTTTTAGCAGATTCAGTGAAAAATAAAAGTCGTTTATCTGAGAATAACAAAAATGCACTTATAAATTTAATGATTAACTTTTTATTTTAAGATAAATTCAAGTACGTGCAATATATTTAATTATACTATACTAGTAAGAATAATGGTCAATACTCCCTGCATAAATTAAATTAAATTTTAACATTACTACTAAATTAATAAATTATATGTTTCTCTTAATAGGACGCTACAGTGACATTTGTTGTCTCCGTCTTACAAGTGCGTAACATAGCAAATTTTACGCTTAGCAGAACACGTTTATCTCCGTTAGCTTAAAAATTAGAGCGAATTGACCTCTTATACAATTTAAAGGTAAGAAAAGGTTTTTTATTATATTTTATTTTTAAAGCAAGTAATGAGTATTTTAAGATGTACAAACAGTTTAAAATTTTAAAACACACATAACTGGCTTTAAAATTAAAATATAATAAAAATCCCATGTCATTGTCTAGATAATAGTCTTATCTTTAAATTGCATAAGAGCTTAATTCGCTCTAATTTTTAAACTTACTGAGATAAATGTGTTCTGCTGAGCTTAAAATGTTACTCGCTTGTAAGACATAGACAACAAATTTCACTGTAACGTCCCCTTAACTTAATTCATTAATGTGTAGAACCAACAAATGGACTTACAGTCTAATACTAAAGATATAATTGTGATACAGGTGGTACTTTAAATACATTCTATGTATTTTGGAAAATCAAACCGATGTGGATTAGAAAATAGTTTTTATTATAAGTGCATGATTATTGGACGTTAAAAAAATAATTTCGACTCAATCAATGAAACTTAAGTATAAGTGTATAACCAATAACTATATAATAATTATATAATAATTATATATATATAAGGACATTTCCAACTAATTGTTGTTTCTGTTATGTGTCAATTGCAGTGTTGATATTAAAAATAATATATTTAAACATAATTTAACTATAATTAATATACCTATGCATTGTAATAGTAATAAGTACTCTGATATAGTGATGCATCACACCGATAGAACGCTTGTGAAGAGTTTATTGTCCTCATTATAGTTTTTGTAGTTTATTCGAAAATCGTTCATTATTTATTAATTATAGTTATACATTATACAAATTCATAACCTATATAAAAAAAAATACGAAAATAAATGTTTGCACTGAATTGTTATATTAACATATTATTTATTATCATTTTTTCTACATAAGATATTAATTAGTTAAATATTATTTGTCATACTTATGTTTTTTTAAGACAATCTTTAAGTTACCAATAATATTATTGGGTATATGTATATTATAATATTATAGTTTACCTAATTTGTAAAATTATTTATTATAAAAATGGTGAAATAAAAATGTTTCCTTGGTACCTTCTTAGTTCTTACACGTACCATCAAATACGAATTACATACATTTTTTTTTAAATAAAGAATTTTTCAAATTTCTATTAAAATTTAATAATAGCCAAAAAAATCACATTACCATAATTTAGCACGTTCTGAAACCTGCAACACCTCCCTAATTTTATTTTTTGTTGGGAATAAACTGATGTTATACAAATAATCATACAAATGTCATATACTCATACTAAATAATATCTATTTGCAAAAAATAAATAGTGAAATTCGTGTGTGGTGAAAGTAAGAAAATATACAAAGAACATTCATACAAATATTTATACCAAACGATACACAATCACATAAATACTAATTGTAATCAAAAATTAAATAGATCTGCAATTGTATTTAAAATAATTAAGTAGTTAAAATAATATGTGTTAGGTTTTAATTAATTGATATTATAGAATATTCATTTTGGAATCTTACTTTAATCTTTTGGCTATTCATCATAATGTATAATCAGTTTTGTTTAAATTTTACTTACATTGTACTCTTAAAAAAATTGTATTTCAATGATCGAATGAATTATATACATTTATTAGGTACGCTAAAAAATCATCATACAAAATGTGTTCGTAATAGTTTATAACTACAGTATAAATGTTAACTTCAAATAATATAAATTAAAAAAATATATATTAAATTCTATAAATCATGTATAAATCAATATAATATATATATCGATTTAGATATTTATTCAGTCACTTTTTTATCAATTTAGATTTTTTAGTTTCATTTCTTTATCAATTTCGATTTGTTTAATTTTAGATTTTTTTAATTTTAAATTTTTTATCATTTTAAATTTTTTTTATATTTGTTTTTATTTTTAAATGTTTACGAATTTAGATTTGTTGGGTCGCAAATATTCTTTTCTAAAAATGGCACAAAATTAAAAAAAAAAAAAATAATTTTCTAATGCACAAGTGTATGGTTTTTTTTTTTGTCAAACCAAATGTTTTACGACTAAACACCATAGAGGTAAAAATTATTATGTGGACAGTTTTGATCAGATTAGCAAGATAAAGGGGAGTACCCGGGATTACACTTAAACCCTTAACAAATTTTAGCTTTAAACACACCCTTAAGAAGTGCTTCTAAAACTATTACTTGATTAGCTTAAGATTTAAAGTGTTTCATTTTTAAGCTAAAGTAATTTAAATTATTTGTGGTAAATAATGTATTGGTCCAGTATATTGAGAAAGGCTTTGTAAATGGTTCGTCCTCACAACACTGTGTGAGTGTGCTTGATTTTTAGTAAAAAAAATACTAATTCTGGTATAATCTCCCTGAAATTAGCGTATTTTTTTCATTTTCCCCGGTTGTTAAAAAGCTAAGATCCGGCCCTGCTAATAAGTAGTTGATTACTACTCCTATTGGCCTCGGTTGCCTTCTGTCGTTAAAACAAAAAAAATGTGACATTTGATGAGCATTTTTATAAAATTATTTTATTCTTTTATCTGTAATTATGAGAATCAGATAAAATCAATAAAATTGTCAACTATCAATTATTTTAAACAGTTTTTTTTTATTATTATTTACTTTTGTTCAAACATTTTATAACAGTATATAAAAATATAACAGTACAACTCGGTGGAGGGGTGATAGGTAACAAACAATATGTAATATCACAAAACATATTTGTGTTGAATTTTTGATGTTATTCGACAAGTAAAAAAAAACGCCTCAATTTTATTAATTATTTAATACCTACTATATAATGATGTATTTTAGTTTTATAAAAAAAATGATCTTATTGTTGTGAGGTTTTTTACATAAAATATAGATGGTTCTACATTTCTCAAAAATTGATTACTCAATTTGAACATTTATTTTGTCTGAACACACCTATGAATTATGATGTCATTATTGTAACTTCTATAACAGAATATTACATAGTGATTTCTCATACACCACTGAGCCAAAATGTTTTATAGATTATAAATAAATAAATTATAATTAAAGATTATTTAATTCTTTTTTTTTACAATATATCCATTAGGCCGAGTATAATATAATATAGTATAATGTATTTCTTTGCAATTTAGACTTAGAAAAGACATCTCATAGACTCCAAAATCTTTTCTTTGTGCGTAGTGATCATGGGCCCATAACATTTGCATAGTAGTTCATGGTGGAGATATTGAACACTATTATAAAACAAATAAAAAATATACATACAACTTCAACGAGTAGTGAGTTCTTTATTACCTATTGTATTAGTATCTACTAGTTATTAAAATGTATTAATCATACAATTTTACAATATTATGCTGTATTTTTGAAAATATACGTAGCTTTCATTCATTTAAAATTTATCCGTTTCCAAAAGTGTTTTTCCATATTAATAAATAACAAATAAATAACTGGACAAAATGCCTATTTCATAATTTAAAAAAAAAAAACAAAAACACATTAAAGTGTTTTTTTTTTAGACCTTTGTGAAATTGAACCTATGAGTTATA